GTGTGTGCGTGTGAGTTTTAAGTTACGAAACCCGTGGAAAGGATATCAGTTTGTTTTTTTTTTTTTACTATCGATAATTGCATTGAAATGAAGAAAAAAAACAACAACAAATCGCCATATTTAAAAAAAAAAGAAAAAAAGTTTTTTATCGGTTTCGGTTAATGAACCAACGAAGTAGTTAGTCGTGCTAATATTTAATGCGGTTTTTAAACGTTCTGTTTTACGTTCTAAACGTCACGAACGTTTCGTCGAAACAAAAGAATAAAAAAAAAAAAAAAAGTGGGAAAAAAGAGAGAGAGAGAGAGAGTGAGAATAAAGAAATCTCATTCGAGGATTTTTTTTTTTTTTTTTTTTTTTTTTGTCGGACCTTGTAAAAATTAATTTTCCCTTTATTTTCATTTTCATTTATTGCAACCTTGTCGAGTGATGAGTGCATTTAAACGTGGGGCACACGAGTTACGAACTAAATTATTATTATTATTATTATTATTATTATTATTATTATTATTATTATTAAATTCCTATTGAACTTGAAAAAAAAATTTCAAAAGTTTTCCAAAGTGTGCACTCAAAAGCACTTTGTGCCAATTTAAAAAAAAAAAAGTTTTTTTTTTTACATTTAATCGTAAAAGTATACAAAAGTGCATCGGACCTGGTGGTGACCTTTAAAGTTGCCTTGACCCTCAAAATTTACCTAAACGGTACTTTGCGCAGGTTTGTTGTTTTTGTTTTTGTTTTTTTTTTTTTAATTTATTAAAGAGGACATGACGTGAATAATGATGTGTTTGAATGATAAGTTAAATATTGTCGAAATATAAGGCGAGACATTTAATCGTTTGAAAATTTAATTTTGGGAGAGAGGGGAATTCCTCCCTCCCTCCTCGCGCGCGCGCGCGCGCGCCATCTTTCGTTTAAAAAACCGCCGAAATGAAAATTTTTAAAAGTTTTTGGATTTAAATATGGCTGATTTATTGTGTGTAAAAAATTCGTAACGTAATCCAACTCTGTGTTAGCCTAATACTCGATGCCATTTTTATTATTATTATTATTATCAAGTCGGGGTTTTCTTGCTTTTCTTGCTTCCTGACTTTTGCTACTCGTTGTTCAATGTCGTCGTCGTCGTCGTCGTTTATTTAATTATGACGAGTCATTTTAATGTTGTTTAAATCGTAATAAACTAATTAAGCGATGATGTAAAACAAAACAAAAAAAAAAAACAAAATTTGTTGAAGAAAATGAAGGAAAAATAACTCGAATGAAAATGCGGTACTTTGCCTTAAGTCACGTGGCGACGTCCGAGGGAAAAAAGGAGAATCGTAAAATGACGACGAACTCTCTCTTCTTCCCCATATGACTCGAGTTCATTTTAAAATTCATTTTTTCTTTTTTTTCGTGCGCCTACCGCCATCTTGACCGATCGAGTCATGCGCTCTTTGAACGGTTTTTCCTTCTTCTCCATCCATTTTTATTTACGTATTTTTTTCTCTCTCTCTCTCTCTTTCTTTCCTTCTCTGTCTCTCTCGCTCTCTTTATTATTATTATTACAGTGAAGAATTTTTTCGTGAGGAAAACTTTTTTTTTTTTTTTTTTTTTTTTTTTCAAACGGATTAAAAAAAAAAAAAATTACGATGACACGATGTCTGCCATACCCCCCCCCAATTAATTAATAAACTACGTACAAAATATATCGCGAGATTGAAAATATGTTTTTTTTTTTTTTTAATAAAGTTTATGTATGTATGTAACATAAGTAGTATTTAATTGTCAGGTTGCAGCTGGTAAAACATTTTTTAACCCTCGAAAAAAAAAAAAAAACTCATCAAACTCTAGCGATGATTGTATTTATTAGTTTAGGAAATATATATAATAATAATTGGGTCACGTATCAGAACGTTTTCTCTCTCTCTCTCTTTCTCTCTCTCTCTCTCTCTCTCTCTCTCTCTCTCTCTCTCTCTCTCTCTCTCTCTCTCTCTCTCTCTCTCTCCACATGTACTTGGCGTAAGCTTACATAACAAATGCATTGACAAAAATAACAATGGGAAGATAATTAATGGCTGGGGGGAAGGTAGGGAGATAGGGAAGAAAAGTTTAATTCGTCTTAATGTTTACAATTGCAATTATTATTATTATTATTATTATTATTGTGAACGGTGAGGGGAAGAAAGAAAGAAAAAAAGACGTCGAAAAGAGGGATTCGAAAAGACGAAAAAAAAAAAAAAAGCAGACGACGACGACGTCGTCGTCGTCGTCGTCTACTCCGTTAACGTAAGAAATTTGCGTGAGTGGTGACGTCACAGCTTGGTCGAGCGGGATATCGATTTGTAAAGTCTCTCTCTCTCTCTCTCTCTCTCTCTCTCTCTCTCTCTCTCTCTCTCTCTCTCTCTCTCTCTCTCTCTCTCTCTCTCTCTCTCTCTCTCTCTCTCTCTCTCTCTCTCTCTCTCTCTCTCTCTCTCTCTCTCTCTCTCTCTCTCTCTCTCTCTCTCTCTCTCTCTCTCTCTCTCTCTCTCTCTCTCTCTCTCTCTCTCTCTCTCTCTCTCTCTCTCTCTCTCTCTCTCTCTCTCTCTCTCTCTCTCTCTCTCTCTCTCTCTCTCTCTCTCTCTCTCACTCTCGAAAGTGGTACACAGTTGAGGGACCGGATCGTTGAAAAACGTCGTGATTCCGTGTCAAAGGAAAAAAAACACGTTAGAATCTCGGTTTTTTTTTTTTTAACGTTTTTACGTTTTTTCGTTTTTTTTTATTTTTTTATTTTTTTTTTATTTTACGGACGTAGTAAGAAATGACGAACGAACCGGAAATTAAGAGTGTAGA